AGTATATATATTTTGTACATAAAATTCATTTGACGTTTATAATTGATAAATCATTGCTCACTACCATTAGCAACCACCGGTTAACCACCATTTAACCACCGGTACCGCCACCGCCGCCGCCACCACCACCGCCACCGCCGCTGCGCTGCCATCACAACCACCACCGCCACCACCGCCACCACCACCGCCACCGCCACCGCCACCACCCCCGCCACGACCACCACCACCACCACCACCACCACCACCACCACCACCACCACCACCACCACTATATTATATTATATTATATTATATTATATTATATTATATTATATTATATTATATATATTATGTCAAAAGTATTGGCGCGCTTGGCTCAATTAATTATTGCTCATTTCGAAGTGAGTAATTGAGCTGTTATTATATAATAAAAAGTGGCCGACAATAATGCATATAATTTTTGTCTGCCCAGTGATAGCTATAGTCTCAACTTAAGAGGGTCAAATAGTATAGCCTGGAGAAGAACATTAATCTGTTTCCTGTGATGGCAGTGCGCTAGGACGTACAGCTCGACGCGTGCGTATACGTTTTATGCACTTATACGAGTATTGTATAGTATACAAGAAATAATACCACTTGTACAAATATTGCGCAGTATACGAGAAATAACAGGACTTATATGCAAGTATACAAGTATGAAGTGGCTAGTAATATATAAGACAAGCGTGTCATATGATATCCGCATGGAATGCGACGATTTTTTTTATATTATGCCTTATTATATCTTGCTCTTAGCATGTACACAATAAGTGATTTATTAAGTATATATATTTTGTACATAAAATTCATTTGACGTTTATAATTGATAAATCATTGCTCTCACTACCATTAGCGTTTGATACCATCACTGATACCATTTAACCACCGGCACCGCCACCCCCGCCGCCACCACCACCGCCGCTGCGCTGCCATCACAACCACCACCGCCACCGCCACCACTACCGCCACGACCACCACCACCACCACCACCACCACCACCACCACCACCACCACCACCACCACCACCACCACCACCACCACCACCACCAACAACAACAACAACAACAACAACAACAACAACAACAACAACAACAACCACGACAGTACTGTTCACCTTGTTCCGAGCGACATTGGGAACTTTTCCAAACCATGGTATAGCAATATTGTAATGTATATTTAACAGATTTTAAAAGTAAAACATAAAAGGGCGACATGGCTGTTTTTTGTTCTTATTTTACAAAACATGGGTTAAGGCGCTGGCATAGCACCTCTCATTGATCAAGTATCATCTACCAATAGGTAAATATGCACTATAGCTTAATTTAATTATACACACTTAATTCACACGATTTTGTAAATAGTTTACATACGATACCATCAGCTAAAATTGACGTTTATGATATTTAAATTTACAAGTTCTAAAGAGACTAGCAGCTGTTAAAATACAATCAATGTATGGTTGAGAAAAAAAGGTATAGTCTGATCACACTGGTGTGGGCAATAGGTTGAAAAAGAAGGTGAACGTACGATACAGCTGATATCTAGGCTAAAATAAACAAGGTACCAACCAACACAGGTCCAAACAAGCAGTCATGAAAAACACGCTGATGAGCTATATGAGAACAAACACTGTAGATAGGTCGTCTATATAGTTTATAGTTACGCAAATACAGACAAATATGGGATATATAGTATACAATTATAGGATGAAAATATAGCTAGATCGTTTTTTTCGACTAGAATTAGGGATTTTTATGGCACTGTCACCTATGGGAATATAGTTCAGATTATTCACGACATCTTTAGCATTCACCCGGATTTGTACATTGCAAATAACGCAGATGGCAATGCGCTATGTTCATACAGCATGCAAACAATATTTCGAAACAATACTTGTGACAAACCTTGCAAAACAAATAGCTCATCTTCCCGGAACAGCGAATCAATGAAAATGTCATGCAAGCCAACCCTAAAGCAGTTCAGTAAATTATCCTAGCTATCACCGACTGCCCCCACCTATTCTGGTAGACGTTAAAGCCGCACTATGCGCATCTACACGGTAATTTCTCCAGTACTAGACTAGCAAATACTTCGTGTCATGCAGAATAAACTATAGTTCCTCCCATTTCACTGTGCGTTGTCTTATAAGATCTTATAAAAAGCATTTGAAAATACCTCCAATGTTGTTCAAATTCTCCGATGTTGTTGACAGTTTCGCGTTGCTCTCCCAAGCAACCGTGCAGCGGTACAGCGGTACGGGGTCTAGCAAAGATAAAAACATGTGATGTCACATAACCGATTCTTGGCGAAATTGTTTGGCAAGCAATTTAGCGTTAGTGCCAGATTACCAGATTTCGCACCACTTTCTTGTGGGTTTTAAGCAAACGCGCAGTGAAATGGGAGGAACTAGAGTTTATTTTGCCATAAGGTAGTGTGATTATGCATGACACGAAGTATTTGCTAGTCTAGTAGGCCTACTGGAGAAATTAGCGTTTGGATGCACATAGTGCGGCTTTAAGCAGTAGATAGGAGACTTTGTAACACTAAACAAGCCAGATGACACACTACTAATTGTGGATATTGACAGCCGTCCTCGTATGTGACATCGCATCAGCAAAGGTGCACCAA